CTATTTGGGAGCTCTTGTTTGGAATGTTATTCATGCGCGTCGCACCTAGAAATACGGACTTCAATCCCTACCTACTCGCTATTACCCCGACGACAAACAAGGAGTCACGTTAACGACCCATCGAAGTGGAGAAAACATGGCTTTCGCTGGAGAGATATTCTCCTTTCATGCACTTTATCGCTTAAATCAGATTTGTAACGATCTTCCAGTCCATTTGGTATATGGAGGGGAGAATGATATGTTGTACGTATCATGTGTTTCATCTCTACTTTCATTTCATATCCTGACTGCGATCCAATTTTTAGTGACCGTGACGTCCAAGACTCCATCGTTGACCCCAAAGAAGGAAGGGAAGGAACTTCGCTTCGATAACTCGATTGAAAGGTGTCGGCCACCTGGTGAGGATATTGATTCGAAAATGAGATTGGGGTAGTTGAACTGAGCGCTTTCCCCCCATTTCCTTACTAGGTCGTCCAAGAAGCGCCGGCAAAGCTGGCAAAAGCCCTTTTTGTGATTCTTAGGAATGTATCGGGCGCAAAGCAGGCAGAGAATGTTAGTAGGCTATAAATTTTATGATTTATATTCAGGTGGAATCTCAAAAGGGAAACTTTTGGGAATAGAACACAGGAAGTATATGTCCTGTAAATTCCTTCGATTTGGACGGTAATGTAAGAGTTGTGATTAAGTACAGTCTGGCGATGAGGTTAGATGTACCTTACTCGCTAAATCACAAAGTCCATACAGATCCAGGAAATCCAGGGGGAAAAAAACAGCAGTCACTTCCATCGATTGGGGGCACCGCGGATCGAACGCGGGACCTTCAGAAATTATAGCATCCAATCGGCTACTTCAGTCTGCTGCTCTCCCAGATGAGCTATGCCCCCTAGAATGATTGAGATGGACCGCAAATGAGCAAGGAGGTATTTCAGGAATTTGGCCAAGGACAACGAATTGGGTTGGTGCGACTCGCGGAAGCGGACAGAATAGTAGTCAGGACGCAGGGTTCCATTTCAACTTTACATATAGGAGCAGAAAAGGACCGCGCTCGAAATGTTTCTCAAAAGTTCCTCGACAATCACAGACTACAGGAGGGGTCCTGTCACGGTTATAAGCGTGATCAATAGCTACAGGATAATAGTAACTTGTTGCTAGGAAGAATCCACCTTCCCGGGACACTCGCGCCAAAGAGGAAGCTACATTGCGTGCCATTTATGGTCAGAGCCAAAGGATTCAGCTAGAACTTGCTGCACAGCAATTGCATGTTAATCCTCCTGTTCCTGCTCCTGCTCCTGCCCCTGCCCCTGCCGAACTGCCTGAGGCTAACCCGCACGTCCTGATCATGAGGAGAAGCCTCTACTGTCTTAACCATGCCGCTTCAAAGTCCGTACAGCTTTGACTATCAATTCTTGTTCTGTTGGCATCATCACTGACGACTTGTTTTCAAAAATTTTAGCATTGCAAATGACGTTTTTAACGCGGCAGAGAGAGAGAGGTGTGACCACCGTGATAACTTTGAAGATAAGGCAAACTGTAAGTTGTATGTGTTCATTTGATCGACATTTCTCACCTCACTCCGTCTGCAGGTTGGGAGGGGGTCTTGAATACAGTTGGTCTTCATTGCCCACATCCGCCAATTACTGTGTTGTATGAGGGGTATAGAACACCTAATGATGTTGCACAACCACAATGATGTACATGGATAGCTAGATAGATGGTCGACTTATTTTATCCAGAAGATCTTATCTCACTGGTGTTGCCAGCAAGTGATTCGAAAACTCGTACAGATTTCTTCGCACTCTCTCTCTGCTCTTGACTACACCGTTTAACCAATAAATTTGTTATTCATTTTCTGCCCAGAAGCCTATACTGAGAGAATTCATGACTATAGTCCTGCATTATGCATGATATTCGGCTGGAACACAAGCGTGACGCGAAACCCTCTCGTCACTCTCAATAGTCGAACTCCGAACAACAGAAAATCAGACTTGAAAGAAGCATGCATCAATGATGCATGTGCCGTTGAGTGACTTCATTAGAGTAGCTACGTTCTAGACACTGACAACAAGTTGGGAATATCTAATTCTGGACTTC